CCGCCCCTCCTGCCGTGGGACCCGCCAGCTGCTTCAGGTGCTGCAGCCCAGGCAGAGAGCAGGTGGGGAGCAGGCGGGGAGCGTGGCCCTGGCCTCCTCCTGCCTGCTAGCCTCTCCAGTGGCCCCCATTGCTCAAGTTTAATCACATCAGTGCACACCGCGGCAGCCAAACATTGGTAACACCTGGGAGTGTGTGCTGCTCTGTGGTGCACATGGCTGGGAACTGTTTTCTGAAATGACCCCAGCACTTGTTCCTTTTCCCAGGGAATCTGTTAGGCACTTGTGGAAGTAGTGAGTGTGCTGGCGAGGTGAGCCGGGGGTGTGGAGTGCTTTTACCGGGCTCCTTACAGCCCTCGTCTAGGCAGTCCTTTACTCCCCAGAGGACGTGAGTGCCAGAAGGAGGGGCAATGGAGAGCTCCCGTCCTGAACTCCCTTCAGAAATGCGCTGCTCCAGAGTGGAAGTCGAGCCATGAGCATCGTGGGGCACACCCAGCAGGCTCCTGTGCCTCTAGTAGAGGTTGTGCTGCCCGGCCTCCTGGCCTCCGTAGGCAGTTAGGGTTCTGGGCCCCAGGGCCGAGGCAGGCCACGCGGAGCTGCTCCCAGTTTGCTTCTCAGTGAGCTGGGAGGAGGCAGGCTGAGGGCGACCTCCCAGCAGCCAGCTGAGGTCGCTGTTTTGTGCCCGTGCACCCCCATTACATCATTTGTGACCGCATTATGTCCTACTCTGGGAAAGTGAAATTTGCACTAAATTAGACTGTCTCCTATTTGTGAAATTAGACTCTTTATCGAATTACTAACTTTTAAGATAAAATGTTAATATTTTCTCCTTTAGAAATTGCCAAAAGTTAACAAAGAGTTGGCACTTAAACTAATTGAGGAAGAAGAGGAGAAGCAAAACTCTACATTGAAAAAGAAAATTAAGGTAAGATTTAATAAGGTAGAGAAAACATTGATAAGTTGTTTTATATATATACACACACACACACACACACACACACACACACATATATATATATATATATTTTATTTTGTTTATCCCATGAGTGAGTGAGAGAGTTCTAGCTCCCCCAACAAGGTCTTGATGCCGACCCTGACCTGCCCCTGCTGTAGCCAGCCCAGGTCCGAGCATGCGTGTCTGCGTGTACAGGGAGGTCTCTGGGCACAAACTGGTAACCTTCCTATGTAGATTGCCTTGAAGAGGATCTCATTTTTGGATCATCCTGTTTTCACAGCCCTATTTTACATTTTCTTGATAGTAACTTTTATCTTTTTTGTTTCTTTTTACTTAAAAAATGTCTATGTTGTATATGTTCAGTATGGGAAGTATAGAAACTAGAAAAGAATGTCAAGAAAAAAGCTTGATATTCTTCTACCCAGAATTACCCATGTAATTCTACCCAGAGAAAGGCATCATTAACATTTTAGTGAATTTTCTTTCTATTTTATTTTTCTTAAAATTATGAACTTTACGAATATGGTAGTATTGTATGTGTAAAATACTTCTCCTGGTCTTGTCAGATAACACAGGTGGTATCCCATCTTGTCAAAAATTCTTCATAGGGGCCCGCCGATGATGTGGTGATCAAGGTGCTAGACTCCCACATGGCTGACTGTGGTTCAAGTCCCAAACCTAGCAGCTTGGAAATTGTGCTGGGCGTGTGTGTGTGCGCGTGCCCAAAATCCCAAGAGGAGGATGGAGAAGAGATTGCAGTGTGGCCTTTCCCCCCTGGGAGGTGATTTTTCACTTACCCTCTCATTGTCTCTGTCTCCGTTTCTCTCTGGCAAGCACAGATACCCTGTGGCAAAAAACTTTGTAAATATCTTTAAAGGCTGGGTATTCGGTCTTACTGATGCATTATAATGTACTCCATTCATTGATTATTCAGCATTTAGATTATTTAATGTTTTTCTTCATACTAGCTAGGTTGGTTTGTGATTTCAGAGTAACCAATTTTTATTTAGACTTGGTGTTACTCAGAGTTCACAGGCTGGCGTGTAACTGCTACCTGCCTGCCTTTACTGATAGGTGAGAATTAATCGTAACATAAATAAGGGCAAGCACTTTCTTGAGCGGATAGTGTCCAGAGGCAGGAGAGTTTCCTAGTTTTTCCAGAGAGCTACAAACTTTCTGGGCCTTCCCGTCCCATCAGTTGTGCGTAGATCAGACAGGCAGGCCATCAGCCGCTCTGGCTTGTTGCTATGTGAGGCTCAAAGCTCTGATCTCCCTGCCAGGCCTGCAGAGCCTGCGAGCTCAGGGTAAAGGGCCTGACCTTGTAGCTCGCCAGCAGCGTGGCGCTCTCGGAGGTGGTCGTCTGTCTGCTCGTGCTTCTCCGGGTTAACCAGGAGAGTGAGCTGGAGGTGAGGGAGCTCTCTGGGTGCCTCCTCCCCGGCTCAACCTCTGTATCAGCACCCGGGGGCGCACCTGCCCTCGTGGTCCCCGCCTGTGTCATCTGGGGAGATTTCCTCGGCTCCCTGCTCGTGCTGTTCATCTGTAACATGCGAGGCCTGGCTGTGGGCATCCTGAAAGCTGTCATTTCTGGATGGATTCAGACACCCTCTTGCCGTCCTCTGCTTCCCTTCCCTCTCCTGCCATCCTCTCTTCTTGGTCTTTTACCTTCTCTTAGTGCATTATTTAAACCTTAATTTTCAGAAGCCTTTCTTAAGTAGATAGCTGGCTTTTGTTTTGTTTTCTTTGCATGAATAATACACCAATGTTGAAATAATTACCGGAACTCACTAATATTCATTCACACCTACGTGCACGGCCGAGCCCCACGACCCCAGTGTATACGATGTGCCCTAATCGCACGAGCGTCCTGCTGGGTGGGCTTCCTCCCAGCGCGTTCACCAGGCCTCCTGTTAGTCAGGCCCAGGATGACCGGTGGGCAGCCTTCTCAGCTTCATGACGCTGTTGACAGGCAGCTGGAAGTGGCTGTGGGCTTACGTGCCCTCAGCCTCACTGGGCAGAGAGCGGAGCTGCCCTAGGCTGCAGACGTCTGCGTCCCCCTTGCTGCTGGGCCCGGGAGTCCATGTCTGACGCCCCACTGCAGATGGCAGGACACGCAGGGTCCAGCAGAACTTGCTGCTTGTGCAGCGTGGTGTCCCGGAGCCTCGTTACAGGCCTGTGAGTGTGGGCGTAGCAGAAGCCCCGCCCCTTCCCCCTTTCCATGGCGGACTTTTGTCCAGGGCAGGGGCAGCCAGAGAAGACTGAACACGCAGTCGTGAGACAGTGGGAGCGCCCTCACAAACCGAAAGCACACGGCGGCCTTCGCAGTCAGCGGGAATCGCCGCGTGCGGTGCCTGTGGACGTTTCTGCCAGAACGTCCCAGGCCCTTACTGTCCACTGTGCGTGTGGGGAAACGGAAACCAGTAAAACTCGGGTGGTTCTACTGCGGAAATGCAGAACATAGAAAAATATTTCAGGATTTTCCAATGACCAAGTATTTATTTAGTATACTGTAATTCATAACATTAGGAACAAATTTAATTGAGTATTTATTTCTTGTTAAAACCCCAAAAACTTGTCAAAAGTACCTGGACTGGGGCCAGCAGGTAGCATAGTGGTTAAGGCGCTGGACTTCCACACGGCCAACTATGGTTCAGGTTCTGGACCCAGTGACTTAAAACTCATGCCAGGCGGAAGGAAGAGATTTAAACATTGTTTTAGTTACTCACGAGAGAACACCTGCAGGGGCGCAGGTGCCCTCCCTGTTACGTGGCGATAGCCTCCCCCAGCCCGCCAGCTCCTCAGGACCTTGGGTGCACATGCACCTGGCTCGTTTCCAGGTTGACTCCACGTCTGAGTGAGCCTTACAGCTTCCGGCACTGCAGTTTCCTGCCCTCCTGCCTGGCTGGGCACGTACTCTCGCCAGAGAGAGAGAGAGAGAAGGTGAGAAAGCACCCCCAAGGGTGGGGGTGGCCACACCATAGCCCTTCTTCTCCACTTCCTTTTGGGCACACCTGGTGTGTTTTTCAAGCCACTGCTCTAGGACTCACCGCGTAGTCGGCCAGGTGAGATCCAGCAGCCGTAACCTCCACACCACAGCTGGCTCTGGACCTCGGTCTTTCTCTGATCTGTTTTCTAAGATGTCATATGAGTTTATCACATGGGGTCCGAGGAGGTGCCCTCACAGCTGCACCCTCCTGTCTGTGCGAGCCGCATGCAGACGCGGTGGGCTGTTACTGACGGGCTTCCAGAGCACCGCCAGGGCCACGCGCGTCTGTCAGTCACAGGGTTTGTGGGCGGGAGAGTTCACAGTAGAGTTGCGCTTTGTACAGATACTCCCAGCTTGTGTGCGGAGGTGTCTGGGTGCGTCCCGTGCTTTGGGGGACTTGGAGTCATTTAGGCACACCAGGTTACCTCCTTCCTATGAGCACCTGAGATCAGGGACTTCTGTAAGGGTCGTCTGTAAGGGCCATCTCCTGTCACACCTGTGCCCTGCTCACTCTCATTGTGTTGCTGTGTATCTCTGGGTAGCAGTCGAGATGGTCTTCACCTACTTTAGAGC